TCAACTACTGGAAATTTTTCACAATCCACAGATTTAAATCATAGTATTCTTAACCCAACAGAAAAAGTGTTGGGAATCACTTCATGGGACAAAATTCAGGAAAACAATAATCACAGTAAACAAAGTGCTCAACTGACTCAGAGCTCACAGAAATAATAGCAGTGTTAGGAAATTAATAGAGATGTGAAAATGAACTCATTTTGGCCAAGCTAGGGTAACAAAAATTATCTTGAGGAGGCTAGGTAAGGAAGGAAAAGTGAGATGTGCACGGGCCCATCACGCCTTCCCCCTTGCTCAAGCTTTGCTTGTAGGCAAAATTAGGTGTGAATTAACACCATATTTTAATGTATTGAAAACCACAACAGGTAACTCGCTGGAAAATTTGTGATCTTGGCCATATTATTTGCCTTTCAGGGGCTTTAATTTACTTCTCTGTAAAATTATGGTGACAGAAGTGAAAGGCTTAATGAGATAAGTGATCTGATATTGCTTAGTAAACCATTACAGTTCACAATATGTGTAGTACAATGGTTCAAAAGAAGACATAGCCTGGAATCTAGGAAACGCCATAATTTCCTACAACCCATAATATGAGATATAGAGGGCTTAGAGTTCTAAGTTACTCACAAAAAAATGAAAGTGAGAGAGGACTAGAATGCTAAAACACCTAAAAGTTTATTTAAAGGATTTATAAGGTCCTTCAAGTAATCAAGTTAGAGGTAGGTGAAGAGTCCGGACTTACTACAAAGTTATAGTAATTAAGAATGTATAGTATTAGCAAAAGAAAAGAAAATAGATTAATGGAACAGAATAGAGAGCCCAGAAATCCACCCACATTTATACAGTCCATTTATCTTTGGCAAAAGAACAAAAGCAATACAAAGAAGAAAATGCCTTTGTCACAAATGGAGCCGAAACAAGGAAGAGTTCACATTCAAATAAATAAATCTAGACATAGACTTTACACTCTTCACAAAAATTTACTCAAAATGAATCACAGACCCAAATGTAAAATGCAAGACTATAAAACTCCTCAAAGGAAACACAGGAAAAATGTCTATATGACTTTGGGTTTGGTGATGGCTTTTTAGACACAATGTCAGAGACATGATAAATGAAAGAATTAATAAGCTGGACTTCCTTAAAATTAGAATTTCAACTCTGCAAAAGACGTTGTGAACACTGTGAGAAGATAAGCCACAGACTGGGAAAAAGCATTTGCAAAAGACATATCGATAAAGGATTATTATAAAAATATATAAAGAACACTTAAAATTCAATAACAAGAAAACAAACAACCCAATTTAAAAAATGGGCCAAAGATCTTAATAGATACCTCACCAAAGAAAATATACAGATGGCAAACAAGCATATGAAAAGATGATCCACATTATATATCATCAGAGAAATGCAAATTAAAATGATGAGTTACCACTACGTACCTATTAGAATGACCAAAATCCAGAATACTGACAACACCAAATATTGGTGAGATTGCACAGCAACAGAAATTCTTATTCACTGTAGGTGTGGGATGCAAAAAATGGCACAACAACATTGGAAGTGAGTTTGGTGGTTTCTTAAAAACTACACATATTCTTATCCCATGATCTCGCAATCACACTCTTGGATATTTACCCAAAGGAACTAAAAACGTATGTCCACACAGAAACATGCACATTAAAGTTTACAGTAGCTTTATTCATTATTGCCAAAATCTGGAAGCAACCAAGATGTCCTTCAATAGGTGAATAGATTAAAAAACTGTGGTACATCCAGACAAGGGAATATTATTTACCACTATAAAAAGATGAACTATCAAGCCATGAAAAGACACAAAGGAAACTTAAATTCATATTACTAAGTGAAAGAAGCCCATCTGAAAATGCTACACATTGCATGAGTCCAACTCTATTACATTCTAGAAAAGGCAGAATTACAGAGATAGTAAAAAAGAAAATCAGTGGTTGTCTGGGGTTAGTGGGAAAGGAAGGTCACAAATAGGCAGAGCACAGAGGATTTTTAGGGCAATGAACTATTCTGCATGATACAATAATGGTGCATACAGGTCATTACACATTTGTACAAACCCATAGAATGTATAGCATCAAATGTGAACCCTGATGTAAAGTATGAACTTTAGGATATAATGATATGTCAATTAATGTAAGTTTATCAATTGTAAAAATTTGTAC